CGAAAAATTTTTCAGAGTTCCGAGTAGTTCTGATTGGAGTTCTAGGCAGTTCTCGACGAGTTTTAACGGAAAGTTTTATGGCGCATATCCCGCCTCAAAAAGAGTACTTATTATATGTAATAAGACGTACTATAATTTAATTTGACGTCTTATCACACTTACATGTCCCGGTTGGTTGCAGATAATGGTTGAACAACCGACTGGAAGTTCATTTCTTTGTTTTCCGGTAACGTTCGTAATAATGTCGTCCAGATGCATTAGAAACAGCTGAAACAATCGTGTTGCATGCCTTAGTTTTATTTCAAAATCCTACAAACCAACATTCTTATCCAAATATTTAATTTTTATTTATTTTTATTTTATTATTTCAATACTATTTATTCTTGTGCATAAGAAAACTGAGAGAAATTTGCAAAATTCAAGAAAGAATTGATTTGATTATTGAAGGTTTTTTTTATTAAAGATGGGAGAAATAATAAATTTTAATTTTGTATCTCTATTAGTCTTTCCTATTAATAATTAATTATTTATACCTTTGATGATATAATTAACATTCTTCCATTTCTTTTTGTATTCAATTTTGTGCACATACCTTGTAGAATGGCACATTTGCACCATCCGCCGTTCCCTCTATTTCCTTCAAATACTGTGGAAATTGTTTCTTTACCGTGTCAAGAGTTTCATTATAAATCTTCTTACCCTGCTCAGTCGCGAACAGCGGCAAGTAGACCTCGTTCAGCGATGGATGGACATCCACAAAATCTTGGATCATTTTGGCGAAAGTATGTCCCTAATGCAGAAAAAAAAACTCAAAACTTAGAGACTGTACTTTGTGAATGTAAGAATTAATCAAACGCTCACAACGCGATACATTGACCGACGCCGCGTGATAACTTTATGTAGAACAACAAGAATTTAATCCGGATGAATGCCACACCAATGACCGGTCTCCTTTTCTTATTATCCCTCCATCCATGTCATGTGGCCTAGCACTTGCACCGATCAGATTAGTTATGCACCTTCTTAAATTGCGTGCGATATATCGAAATTCGTTCCTCCGGATTAGATACGAGAAAACTGTGTTGCAAGCTGTACTGTTGAGCATAATTTACACATGTGCTTTGCCAACGCAAGTGTCACTATAAATTACACTGGTCGCTAACAAGTATTTCTTTCTCATTAACACCATTTTATTTAATAGATGCAGAAAAACGAAAATAATATTTATAATAAGAACGTGCTTGACTGATATCACTCAAAATGATCAAAAGAAATCAAGTGAATAAAAATATCTATTTGCTCAATTAAAATGCGATAATTATTACACTGACTTTATTAAAATGACTTATTATTAAAAATATTAAAGTAAGGCAATTATTATATAATATGTAGAAAAAACTGTTATATGCAGGAGAAATTGTTGTAAATAATGAGATAATTATTATACATTAATAGAAAATTCGAAACTACTTTATTCTCGAGATCTTTCAAACATTTCAAAAATGAAATCAAACGCTTATGATTCTCGAACTCCAAAAAATCTTAAGGAGAGACAAAACACTTCCTTTGGAGAAAGGCATTGTGCATTCACAAAATCTATATCGTCGTCAAATAAACATTATCATCTCTTGATTGGATAAATATTGTCTAATTCTTACAATGTCGAAGCCGATCTCGTAATGTGTTCCTCGAACATGGATTATGGGAACATTTCTGCGACCTGTACTCTTGGTCGACTTAGTCTTGCACGTTTCAGTAGTTGCCATGTCTCTGTCGTAAAGAATAAAGATGCTTTATCTTGTTCTTCCGTTTTTCTATTACTTGCTCTGGATTATGGTACAGAATATTGCACTTAATAAAATATTATTTCAACTAGGATTTAAATTCGGGTATTGTTACGTGAGGGAAAAAGAGAGGGCTAACATTTCCCTTAATCAATATTATGCATATAAACCATTCTGGAAATCCTTTGAAATAGAATTGCTACTTCTACTTGAAAGGTTCGTTTATTTGGAGTTTGCGTTACTCGCTTTGAATGGAAGGAGGTAAATTCAATGATACGCACTTACTTGATTTTTTTCGACACTCAGCGTCGATGAGGGATCACGGGTGAAGAATATTGCGAATGGAGCACAATCGTGATATTAAACGCGTCACCACTCGCACAACCGATATCTCTTATCCAAAAATTGCACGTGCCGATAACGATCGACATACGACTGATAGCTCTCGCAGTCTTCGCGAGTAGGAAAACTCACGTATGTGATCTAGCTTTTATAGCGCTATATTATATTGTAGCTTTACGTTCACATAACTCTGCGCGAGCAATGCTCTCTTACCACGACTAAACTGACAGTACAAAAAAATTAGGATATTTTTACGTATTGTTGAGTGGCATATATGTCATCGCCCATTTCCGTGAGATGATTTCGAAGGAAAATCCGGAAGACAAAAGGCCGCTGATAAGCACTTGAAGAGAAGGAAAGCTTAATTAAAGCCTATATTAGTTGTTATCACTTCGTTTGGATCAAATTTGTGCAAGGATAAATTTGGATAGTAAAAGAACTTGAAAGGATTAAAGACTAATAATATCAAAACACCAAGACGTATGGTATTTTATTAAACCAACAATATGTTACATTTTTCAAGGTAAAAAATTACAAACGACAATTTGTGTTGAAGGTTGCAATTGATTTCAAATCATGAACCGCCCTAATTATTCTTCGTTTCTCATTAATTAATTAAAGCAAATCGTAAATTGGCCTGATCGTACACCGTTTCTTATTAATAAATTAGTGAACGACAATCATAAATTGTCTTATTGTTATCCTTTATTTATTGTTAATTATTAAACAAAATGATTAATTAATTAAGACTCCTCGCTGTAGTTGTCCTTGTTTAAATACGTTAAAAGCGAGAAATAACGGGCTAAGAATTCTTGCGTGCTACTTTCAAATAAGAAAATACTGAATGAAAAACCATTTCAAATTGCTTTAGCATACTTATAAAATATTCCAAAATATCCTTTTCTTTCGACAATTAATAAACAGCCATAAAATGAATGTGATATGAAGCCTAATCATACAAATTATGTGCAAGTGCATGATTAGACTTTGCATTACATTCATTTTATGGGTGTTTATTGTCCGATGAAGGAAAGGATAGTTTTTGAGACATGTTATAAGTATGCTAAAGTATAGTATTCTTTCATCCAAATGTCTTTTTATTTGAAAATGGCAAAAGATTTTTTTCTTGCTTCTGACATCATTGAACATGGACAACTGCAGCCAAAGAACCAGGAGTCTTAACCCCCCCCCCCCAAAAAAAAACATCCCCAGGAAAAGCGGAATACTCTTGCTGTGCAATTACTGAAACAATTTTAAACTAATTGTTTGCTAAAACGATTCATCCAGATTTATATCTCAGATATTAATTCAAATTAGAATAACGTTCCTTTAATGTTGCAATGTCAAAGTATTCTCGTGTGGCAAAAGAATCATTTCTATGTGTCTATAGAACCTTAAGATAAGTATCACTGCATATCACAGAACAAGGTTACTTTGCAATTGTTAAGACATTTTGCGTTAAGAGACCAACGCAAACCTATTTTATTTTCAAAAGTTTTGATCACACGAAAAATTTAATATAAATGCACATGATTTCTTGTTAATTTTACAAGAAATATTGCAGTTACAATCGCAAAGAAATCTTTCCTTATATATAATAAAATAAAGATCAAGTTGCCAACTTCGGTAATCATACATCCGCAATTTCTAACAAGTATTCAGTTACACAGCTGTAACTTCTCTACTCTAGAAACTAGTAATAGGGCGATCCAAATTTGCAACTTTTTTGGATATTTCCGAAAAATATAATTCCAAAAAAGTAATTCTTTAAGTTTTAAGTAAATTTAATTTGAATGCATCTAAATAAAAGAAAAATGTTAATCTAAGAAAATACATATTTCCTCTCCTTTCCTCCAAACTGATCAACTTTGATTTGCATGTTGCTTATGTATACTAAGGAATATAGATACATATGAAAAGAAAAACTCAAATCGAGAGAAGGAGACACTTGTGTGTTCCCTCATAGGAATAAGAACCAATTGTCAAAGTGATATTTGGATGAACTTGTAAGATCTGACTTATCAAAGATTCCAGAAAAATTAGATTGTTTAGTTAAAAACATTTTATGATATACAATACTTCTAACGTAAAAAGAAAGGGAAGAAGCTCTTTGTGTTTCTTGCGCATAAGTTGATTGTTTGCGAGTCACTGAAACAAAACGAACAGCGATTCTTATTCAATCTACTAATGGCGCAAAGAAAACAATCGTGAGTGAGAATGTTGCAAAATATGCGAACACAACGGTAGAGATGGATCGAAAAATCGCATTCGTCATTCAGTCTTGTACAATGTCTATTTATGTTCCTGGCGACAAATCACATCGAAAATAGACACCTAGGAAAGGATGTTTTCGGTATAAGTTTTTCTCATTCTCTTTTTTTTCTAAGCAACATCGTGAACAGAGATTAGATTAGATTTGCTTCGAAGAAAAGGAAAACGGTGGAAAATAGAAAACCTCACATTACATTGAGCGCCCTTGTTCTTCTTCGCGCTCTTATTCTCTCACTGCGTCGTAATGGAGCTCGCTGATCATCTTCGTTCATCACATCTTGGGATGCACAATATTCCCATTTGGCTATTTTACCATCCCACTACAAACATGAAACGTAACTTTATATTTAAGCGTATCTTATCATAACAATGTATGCAATCGCACTTAAATCATAGATTGAAAGATACCGCAACTTTAAATTGCTACACATATGAGATAGAAGTGTTAAGCATCACAAGTTCTACGTATCATTATAAAAGAAAATAAGAAACACTATCAATCAATTTTATTGACAGAAGAACACTTGTTACAATTTTTCAATTTTATTCACTGAAAACTTGCATAATCCAAAATACTTCCTTCTTTCCTCACACATAAACACAAATTAAAAAAAAGACAAACAGTTCTCCACAGTTGCAATTTTTCTTTCGTTCGAAATATATGAGACACATTTTTGAAGTTATATGATTTTACTTACAGACGAAGTAATAAGATTGTAGTCCAAGGGGTGCCAACTAATATCGCGCACGCATCCCCTGTGACCTTTTATTTTGCGTATTAACTTTCCCGTCAAAAGATCATATACTGCAATTGAGAAAAAGGGATGTAATCAGCGTGTTTATTTACACGATGGTTTTGTGTATTAAGAGAAGCGGAGCATAATACTCGAAACTTACTGATAAACCGCCCCGTCGAATCCCCCGTACAAATATATCTCTGGCCAGTATTGTCCGGCGGCGAAAAGCGACAACGTATCAAAGTCTTACGAACCGAGTGACCATAATAAGTCATAACACTGGTATCACCTTCTAAGAAGCCTCTTTCCCATACTGAAACAAGAAAATATCGTATGTACAGGTTATTAATTGAGCCGACACTGGAAGCGCAGACCAACATTTTCTAGCAAATGTTTTTCCTTCTTCTTTCAAATTTTAATTTACGTTTGGTACATAATGGACATTATTGGTACAGGATATAAGTTGCAAGGTATAACTCGTCGGCGCTGCGGCCAATTACATTAGCCAATTACTTTGATCTTGCAATTATTTTTCTATTGCTTTTTGCTCTCTCATAGAGGAAGTTTTGTTTTCGTTCAAAAATTGCGTTTCCAGTTTTTAAAGGTGTTCTAAATCATTGAAAATGCCGTTTAAATACATTTTTAGTCAAATGTCGATATGTATGTATTCCCAAAATGGATGTTATGTGCATGTAATGACTGTTACGGTATCTGGGATATGCCCAACACCTTGACGAAGACATTCATGTGCTAACAATAGCAGTTAGTAATATTTTTATATCGTTTGAGAACTTTGATGAAGAAGAGGAACTTGAAGAGACATAAGATCAGATTAAATTAAAGTAGATTGGTGCACTCAACACAAACATCAATTAGACAATTAAAACCTATTTTGCATTTCGTGAGTGTCCCTCTATCATTTAATGTATGATTCAATACTGTTTACTGTTCACTCGGCGCTCAAACTAAGCATAGTCCTTTGGTGAGAATCGGTAAAAGGATTAACTTTATAAGATATTAAGAATTTTTCCAAAATATTTGTGGCTGGTCCAACTTCTGCAGACTTTGAGAGATCGGCATACATTTTTAAACATCATTAAAGGATATCATTAAAAAACAAATCAACATTTATAATATTTCTTATCTTAACCAAACAATTGATATTAATTTATTGTCATGTATCATCCACATAGCAATTAATTAATATCAATTGCTTGGTTAAGATAAGAAATATTATAAATAAAGAAATATAATAGAAATAAACACAGAAAGGTGCAAATTCGAAATTTATACATTGCTTCGTCATCTGAGCAAGTTGTTTTCCAATTTTAAAGGTGCAAACTGGAAATTTGCATATTACTTTGTCATCACCTGAGCAAGTTGTTTTTTTCACTTTCGGCTTCCTCATAGAGGAAGCTTTGTGTGTGAATTAAAATTCTAAGGAAGCAATTTCCAATTTGCACCTTAACGCACAAAGCTTCCTCTATAAGGAAGCCAAAATTGAAAAAACAACTTGCCCAGATGATGACAAAGTAATGTGCGAATTTCCACTTTGCCCCTTTACAATTGCAAATCAACTTGTTTTAGCTTGTAAATGGATATTTACATCGTTGAGGCACGCGCTGCCATCGATAGTCCCAATCCTGACGCTCGATAAGCTGGCGAGCATTTTGTTGAGCCCTACGAGAGGAACACATACGCGTATCCCACAACTTGATGGATTGATCTTTAGAATTGGTTATAAAATACCGTGAGTCGCCGCGTGCATCAATGCACGTGATCCCGTCCCTATGACCAGCCAACACTCCAACCGGACGCGGATAAGATTCGTTTAACACTCTCCTATCCCATACCTAAACCGACAGGAAGACGTAGTATAGAGTGAGGATTTTCCAGACAGTAAAACATGTGTTAGTTCATGGCGTGTATCGAGTTCTCTCCTAATGCATCGATATTTAACTATACAGTTAAGAATAATATCTTGGACGGCTCAATGATACCTTGCATAACCCATCATCGCTGCCGCTATAAAAGATTTGCGAGCTGTCGTCCGCAAAGGCAACACTGTTTACGTCTTCTTCGTGGCCCTCGAACTGTAAAAATCGTGACAAACATCAGTGTAAGAAATGCACAAAAGCGATTCCATCCCTAAATGATAATTCTACAAACCCGCAAGATTCGCTGCTGACACTCGAGATTATATATATAGAGGCACTGGTCATTAGCACCGCCAAGGATTTTTGTGCCGTCGTTTGAAAAAGCCACAGAAAAGACGCAAAACCGCCTTACCCCCGGGCACAATGGTAACGTTTCCAATGAATGTCCAGATATATGACATTGATACACTGTAAAAGGTATCGAGAAAATACTGCATTGTACAAAATCTAACATCGCACAATGCATAATAACAATGCTACTTACAACTGTCCGCCCAGCTCGAGTATGCAAAGTGTTCACCGTCTGGACTGAACGCTATGTCTAGAACACTCCAGCCGACATCGTGCGCTAGCATTCGACTGTACAAGGTAAAATTGCCATTGTGCGTCCGATATATGTACAACCACTTATCTACAAAGATTCACGAGCATTGGATATGGGCGGTCAAAGTATTAAGCCTCATCTACAATAGTCGCACAGGCTGTGCCGCAAGCCGTAAGAGCGTCGCTGTGAACGAGTGTCTACAATAATCGCAAAGATTCACGATAGCGTCAAATCGATCGCAGCCACAATGGATGCCCGGCGATTATTAATCTCTCTACAACTTTGCTCCCAATTTTTTAATTTCCTGTCTTTATATTGCCGTTTGCTCAGTGAAAAAGCTCGATTGATGATACTCTTGTCCTCTTTATTAATTTTAATACGCTTCTGCCACAACAGGGGGTTTGCGCGGACAAAGGCTATTATCTCCTTGTTTGCACTAACAATAAGATTGTCCTCAGCGTCCATTTTCTACATTATTCACATTAATACAAAACATTAATAAGAAATAAAATCAATTAGAAAATGAAGAGGCCGTTTAGGACCGGGCATAGGTGTAAGTAGCCAGTTAAATTAAATTAATGAGTGAATCCATATACCGTGTTCTTTCCAACTTATCCTGTGCGCCAGTTACATACCAGCCTTATAACACAGATTAATCCCCGTAAGTGGAAGTGTTATCGTCAGTGAATTCACGTTTATAAATTATTTTAATAATGCTATACATTAGCATCTAATATGATAACCCCCTTTCCCCTTATTTATTATTAATAAGAAAATTTAATATGGATCAGCTAGCTGCTAGCAACACAAGGCAAATCACTTTTAGCGCCAACGTACTACGATTGGCTGATCTCGTGCGACATGCTCGTCCTTTACGAATGCGAAACGAGGACGTTAATTTTCTCACACCGGAAGTGGTTATCTTACTTCTTATGCCACGTTTACTCCACATATTGCAGACGACGCTTTATAAACATACCAAGTGACAAGTCTGTACACTGATCCACTTAATAAGGAAACACAAAGTTACCTTGAGTAGCAGTGATGAAGAACTCCCCATCCTTGGAATACAAACCACAGAAGACCTTGGAAGTATACTCCTGTATAAAGTGCTGTTTATTCGGCAAAAGATTGTTGCTTATCCTACATTTTTCACCAACGCTAAAACCGTGGGGCCTGACGACCCTCCTTTGTATTATAGATGTAATGGACGCGTTCTTCTGGTCGACAGCCCCAGAGGCATACTTGGTAACAACAGTTATGTCGTTTCTCTGGAAAAACACCATAACGCAGTGCACATAGTGTCCAGACAAAGAGACTCAAGTTGCAGAGAAAGCGGAATAGCAAACGAGTACAAGATTGAGAAATTTGTAGTTTTCCTGCTTGATCTACAATGTGCTCTTTGCACCTAGAAACATCCTATTTTATAGCCAATAAATATGTTTAAAAATTTTGTGCAAGCTGCTAAATTGTACATCACACATTGTACAATCGTACAGTATCGATCAATTTTTTAAGTGTATTGATTTGCTCGTACAAAATGGAGCGTTTCTAGGCGCAAAAAGCATATTGTGGATTAGGTTTTCACCCGGGTCGACGCATCCCGAGCTCCTCGACCGCGCGTCCGACCGACGAAACAAGGTTACCGGGTCCACGACCAAACTCACCTTTAATCTGGTTGTATCTGGAACACTCGCTCGGGCGCGAATTCGCGCCAATTCATCTTCTGATTCATCAGATGTGTTCTCTATATTGGAACTACTGGAACGGAAGAGATGATATCGAGGATGTTTGACACGGTCGTGCCGTTCAGTGCTCGAAATTGAGAGGAACCGACAAACGCGGCGTACAATATCCCCAAGTACAAGTTTTTCCTCTGAACAAGTGTTTCCTCGTCAACGACTACCTGGAGAAAACCATCTCAAGAGCCGACAGATATAGGATAGCGACGAATCATGAGAATATTTCCGAAAGATAAGGAAGAAGGTTATGAAAACAACATACGCTGTGGTACAAAGGGAGGGAGGAACAATCACAACCATAGTATAACCAGAGAGAAGCCAGATAGCGGCCACTATAGACATAATCGGGGAGAAACCTGAGAGCAGGGAGAGCGGCCACACGCCGGCGTTTTACTCGATGCTGTTTCAAGAGACTGTTTTGCGCGCCTTTACGCCCATTTTTTACTTTTGGAACTATTTCGCTATGCATCTTCTGACACTGCCGATAAAGTCGCCACCTTGTGCGTGTCCATGCTACGCCTATTTTTCAGGATTGTGCTGTGAAATTCAAAATTACATTAACGTAAATTATCTGCATGATATTTACATTAACTTTTCTCACGTAGACAATGTAAATTTTATAAATTAGATGTCAGAATACATAGCGCAGACGTGCACCAAGTGGAAATTTTATCGGCAGAGTCAGAAAATGGGCGTAAGGGCGCGCAAAACAGTCTCCCGAAACGGTATCGAGTAAAACGCCGGCGTGGCCGCTCGCAGGTTTCTCTCTGATCATATTTTTAAAACATTTCCCTAAAATTTAAAAATACAGAGAGAAACCTGAGAGCTGCCACGGCCCCGTTTTTCGTGATTGGCGAATGCGATACGTCCACTGTGGACATAGAAACGTGGACGTTGAACTACGTGGCCAATGTCCACGTTAGGGCAAGCGTACGGGATAAGCAGGTCTATACATAGATCGGAGTACGGGTAGTTAGGGATTCGGATAGTCAGGGATAGGGGGACATAATTATCCAGAGAATAAGAAAAGAAAATGAAAAGAATATGAATCACCAGTAGTTGATAATTAACGATAAAAAGAATTGTTAGACGACTTTAGGTTGGCAGATGGTTTATTTATTCAAATTCGACACGTTTCGACCACACGGATTGTGGTCCTTCTCAAGGAATTCAACACCTACAAGTTTAATTACAGGATATTGCAACTGAAAAGTATGTTGACCACAAAACGAAATCAACGTAAGTCAAGAGAGTAAAATTCTTTTCGAAAACTTACAATATTACGTCACTGATATTAAACTAAAGCCAACGGCACACGATACTATTTTTCCTACTGGATTGCTTACGAGAGCCAATCAGGACGCAGAGTTTTCGATCAGGTGACTCAAAGCTGAATCCTGGTTGGCTCTCGTAAGGAATCCAGTAGGAAAAATAGTATCGTGTGCCGTTGGCTTAAAAAGCACAGGAGTTTGATATCCATTTTTGTTTTGATATCCACTTTTAATTTAAGACAACATAAAGTTATTTTTTATTAAGTACTTTTCGAGTTATGAGGCTTGAAAGTTACAATACAGTAGTCTTGTTCGGTCTCCGTTATTCTTAATATGTCACAAAGACGCGTTTCTCCGTATTTCCTCAGGATCAAGCTTTGAAGTTTGATTATAATGTAAATCGAGTCGTATTCGTTATCACTTATACGCGGAAAGAAATGTAGCTGCTGTAGCTAAAAACTGCATGTGATAACTAAATTTCAGTTGTAAAATATGGACAGCTGATAGTTAGTTGTGATAGCTAAATATTTTGCTACTGTGCCGTATTGTATCGGGTGCGGCAGCAAATCGTTTACTGCGGTTTAGAAATTTACAGCTATGGCAGGAAAATATTTTTAACAAACCAAGATTAGCTGTGGTAACGAAAATTTTTTTCAGTGTAAGATACAACGTTTGGAAGTTAAAACGTCTAAACTTGAGATGTATGTTACGAAATTTAAGAGCATGAGTCGCACAGATCAAGAGGATTTACTGAGAGATCAGAGTGCTGCGGGACAGCGATATTAAAAGTTTACGTGTCAAGGGCGTCTAATTCGGGTCAGACACGTAGTTGCGAATTGCGATTCGAACTTGATTTAACGAAACGCCGGAGGATTGTTAATTAATTCCATGCCATGATTAGTTCCGCGGTTAGATTCGCGGTTAAACCAATATATAACGATTTCATACTTTTATTGATGCATGTACACGGCCAATTAGATATCCAATATTTCCGAAGAAAATTATAGATTAATGCAATAAGCATCCCGTTGTGAAGACCCGTGTCTCTTTTGTAATCTTGGAATTTATAATTTCTAACAAAAAAGTTATTTTCCCTCTATATTAAATAGCGACGCTTTAATAAATTCTTTTTTAATCCATCGTTGAACGAAGGAAAAAAGTACAACATAGCAAAATAAATTTAACAACGAAATCCTGACATTTTAATTCATGATCGAATGAATATTTGACGTTACGAAAAAAGTAGATACGGCTGTCCCGCGATTGTTTTTTCATGGAAAGTGACGAGAAAGTAGACGTGGAAAACAATTCGATAATTACCACAAAAATAAAACTACTTAACTGGCAGCGTGGCGTTTTATTATGTTGTCGCACACACGGATACAACAAGATCTGCTTTAATCATGTAGAGCAGAACGGAGAGATGCAGGGGCGGAAAATTATTATCCCACGCGCGGTTATAGGATTAAAGATTAATAGATTAGATAATCAAACATTTATGGGTTTGAGTCCACAAGAGATCGAGCCCATTATATCTGCGTTATGTTCAGCGCAGATTGGATCGGGTGTCCGCTGCGTGTCCGCGAAAATCGCCACCCATCATCGGCCGCAATGACGTGCCATTACCACCTTCGGCCTTGTCGATCACAGACAGGCGGGCGCAAATAGCGAGCGTAATAACGTTAGCGAATGTTACGCTTTTCCGATTGTCCCGCGCCCAATCGTATCTGTACAGCGGCTCGACACGCGGAAACGCTTGCTGGCTGCTGCTCTCATAGGGACATGATCGTCCTGAAAATGGTGCTCGTCAACGGCGAACGGAATCCAGATAACACGCAAAGGGAGCTCTCTCTCTCTCTCTCTCTCTCTCTCTCTCTCTCTCTCTCTCTCTCGCAAGGAAAATCTCCAATCAAGTCCTGATTTTATATTCATCGAACAATCTGATCAACATTTCTAACGCAACACAAATTCTCGAACGAAACTATCGAAAACGTGCGTCCTTCGAGCACACGGGTCAAACCTAATAAATCACTCGAAAATAATTTGAAACAAACTTTGGTTTGCAGCAGTTTTACTTAGGATGATGTGACACATGCTTCCGATAGTAAAGAAATTCATGAAAATCACTTCCAATGTCTCGAAAACGACTTTGCACGAATAACTTGGAATTTTACAGTCGTTGACTGCTGGAGAAATATTGAAATATGCAAACACTAAATTTCATTATGAGCATCAAAACGTCGCATGTTCTAGCATGAACGTATCTATATTTTGTGGCAAGCTTTCAAGAATATTTCATGCAATATTCCAATTTTGCAATACAAAGTTCCTGCAATATTTCATCAGTATATCGTGCTGTAAGGGTAGTTTCACCGGAACATTATTTCCTAATCTTTTTCCATTATAGAGTTTGCGTGGTAAAATCAAACTGTCATTTTTCAAATCAGAAAAACGGAGAGTCACATTGCTCCTCTATTATCAGATGTCAACTGTACAAATTCAATCATTCTGTAAAGCTGTTATCGAGAAAAATTCAAAATCATTTTATATTGCTGCTTACTTCATTGTAAACGAATCGGTATCAAATCCATCAAAGAATATACCTAGAATTACAAAAATAGAATTTAAGGCATTGTATAACATACGTTAGAACGTGTTGCTATATTAACTGCTTTCATTCTCCGCGTGTCAATAATGGAATTTCGAGCTACAAATGTTGAGCCTGCAAATATTTACGCCCTTCTGACTGTGTTTATGATTAATCTGATTTTCAGAACACAAACACATAAAGCAAGCTTTACTTACGAGCAAAAAAGATACTAGCAAATATCGCGAGCAAATGTTTCGAAGAGAAACGCGCGGTTCGTAATGCTATTTCCAAATTCAGAAAAACCACCTGCCAACTTGTGGTTTTTATCTTCTATTTTCGAGCGTCGCTAAATACGTATATTGTGTTAAGCGCGAAAAAAATCTTAAAATCTATTGAAAAATAATTATTCTCTCTTCCTCCTTTCCCCCAATTTCTCAGCAATCTTCAGAATTTTATTTCTGATATTCTCATATTCTCCCAAATGTGTCTCGAAAAAATTAATAAAATCGCATTTTCTACTTCTCTCTACATAATTACGTCCAAAAGCGGATTAACCGCAAAGGCAACAATATACGATGGCAAATTTCTACTTTGAATCAAATTCCTGTAATTGTGTGTCTGATAAAAAAAACTACTGGACGGGATAGCGGGATAAAGGATTGCCTATGGGCGGCAAAGCTTTAAATCCGCCACTGATTACGTCCAATTATGTTATAATTGAAGCAAGCGCCATAAATGATTAATTTAAGCGTGATTTAACGCGCGAACGAAATCTCATTGGAATATAAATTTGCCGTCCGGCACGCCAACAATCGTCAGGGAAAATGGATCCATAGGAGGGATCTGATTGGGTCGGATGTACAATAGACAACGCAGTACAATAGCATGATCACGACTAAATTAGATCGGTTTATCGATTGGTTCGTTGACTCTCGATAAACTTGCCACAATGCTGGAGTTAGATGTGACCGTGACTCGTGTATTTCTGACGGAGGTGGGCATGACGTCAATATCTATACGCGGCGAAATCTGAGGAGTTGAACGCGGGAACGAGGTGAGATGAGGGCAATCCGCGAAATCCGTTTTAGGACGTGACTTTGCGCACCTGTGAGACCCAGGCTTGAGATCCCCGTCTTGAATCTCCGATGTATTCCGTTCGCGTAAGCTTCAATCGCACGGAACTCCAAATGTATTAATTTTATGTCTCGATATTCTCGCTCTATTCTAAAAAAATTCCGCCAAAGAAAAAAAAAGCCATTTCCAATTATCGATACGCGTATGTTTATGTATTATTGCTTCTTTTTTTTCTTAAATACTTTTCAAAGTTGCTTCGACAATGACGAATACTGCTGGAGCAATGATGCGACCGAAAAACTCGAAACGGTCAAGACGTTTAGTAAATTCCGTAAAGCTTGGAAAATTGCAACGCGTTGCCGATAGCATTAAAGAACGAATAATTCAATGGCTGCTCGGCTAGTAGGTCAATCAGTCGGATCAGTCAGCTCAACGGACAATCGCTCGTCGCTTCGTAACACCTCAGTTGCCAGAGAAACGGAGGTGGTCGAGCGTATTGATACAGGCAGGGCAGAGGTTTTTGGCCGCTCCATGCCGAGCCGAGCCGAGCCGAGAGGGAAAAATCCTTGTATTTGACATCAATCTCTCTCTCTCTCTCTCCCCCTTCCCCCCTCTCTCTCTCCCTCTTTCTCTCTCTGTCATCCATGTATATTCCCCGCGTATATCCAGCACCTATCTACATATACCTACCTACCTACCTACATACCTACCTACCTATCTACCTACAAACCTACCAACCTACCTACCTACCCTGCAACCCAGACCTATAATTTCCAGGCAACGCAGAGGCCTACACCCTGAGCCCGGAGCCGGGCGAGGACCTGCCGGGCGCCGGCGGAGAGCCAAGAGGCGGAGGGCGCGCGCGTGCGCGCGCGCCCTCCGTCACCGCCGTCGGCGGCGACGTCGACGTCGATGTTGATGGCGACGGTGATACGCCACCGCCGGCCGTCGCCGCCAGGGCTGGAGAAGGGGCCTGTTTACAGGATAACAGGATCCTCTTCTCCTACAGTCGCGCGCCAGTTCATCGTCGCGATACACCATCGGCGCATCCATCGCGGCGCGGCGGCCGTACGCCCGCGCGCGCGCACACACACACACGTACGCACGCAGTATACGCGCGCGCGCACGCACACAACCCTCGGGGGCGCGTGCCACCCGCGCGAGAACTGGATCCCTTATCGCTGTGCATCGCGCGCGCGCCACGCGCCTATCATTATCCGCCTCGCTTCGCTCCGCTCGCGTGAACCCGCGCGATTATTGCTCTCTTTTTCACAGCCGCCGCCGTCACCGTCGTCGCCGCCGCCGCCGCCGCCGCCGCCGCTATCGCAGCCGCAGCAGCCGCTGCCGCCGCTGCCGCCGCTGCCACCGCCACCGCCGCTACAGTGCTCCCCTTTTCACTTCCTCTTCCTCTTCTCAGCACAGAGAGAGAGCCTATGTGCGGTGGTGGTGCTATCGCGCCGTTTCCCGATATCGTTCGGCAACAGGTGAGTCACACACTCTCGCGCTCACTGTCCGTCCATCCGCCGCCGCGTTACCTCTCGTTCGTTCTCCCACGTCCTCCGTAACGCGTGTTCCGTATGCGCGTGCGATGCACGCGTGAAGTTGCGTGTGCCATTTATCCGCCACCCCCTTGCAAGAATCCCCGGTCTCTACCTCGGCAGCATCGCGTTCCTCGGCGCTACGAGCCTCGGCGACGACGGCGGCCCGCGTGTAGAAGAATACGGCCTCGCTCGTGATTTCGCGGGGATGCGTAGTCGCGATAACCGCGTCTCCGCCAGGACGCGCCTCCCCGAGGACCGTCCTCGTCCTTCCTGCGCTTCCGCGCTGACTTTTCAATCGCATTTGCGCGACGGGATGCGTTACACGCGGGGACGAACGGCGAAGGAGGCGCAACGGCGGTAGCGCGCGCGAGGGAGAAAAGTATACAGACGGGAATAACAGGTGAGCGGAAAATGAATCGGGGATCGCTTGGGGAAACCCCGCGAGATAACATCGTCGCGGGGCGTCGAGTCGAAAATCGGGCACGCCGTTACCGAGGTTCGCTGGTACGTTTGCTAATGTTAACGGCTCGCGCGCCAATATCGATTCACCGGAACGGATAACGCTCGTTAACGTCGATTCAACGAGAACTTATGGCGATTAGGTGTCTACGAGGCGATGCTAATTCTACGGGAGAGAGAGCGGGACGAGAGAGGAGCGTCTCCACATCGCGACGGAAAGTACGGATAGCGCGAGCGGAGAAGAAGGGAGGAAACGAGCGCGGCTCAAAAAAACGACGGATGCCTCTATCAGAAATTATATTTCCTGCGCGGGAAGACCTTCGAGAGAAAGGAGAAAGAGTCCGAGGGATGGGGGATGTTTCTCTCTCCCCTTTTCAACTTTCACCAGTTGGCTTTCCACTGTCTCTCGTGTCGGCTCTTTCTCACTTTCTGCTTCCGATCGCGAACTTCGTACGCATGCTGAAAAGGCGGGCGTTATCTCGTTATTGATATCCAATCGCTACCTTTTGACGAATAAAAATATATTTGTGTAAAGTGCGAGTGATACAAAGAGCGTGTAGTTAACAATAGGCCTGTACTCGCACAACTAGCCGTGTTCTCTATCGGGCCAATTGTATATAATTAACGACGATTCGCGTCAATCGTGCATTGTACTCGCGACTGAACACCCGGAAAGAGGTATAATTTCAGAAAGTTTATATTTCTGTATTGAGAATACGCAGAAACGATCTCTATTCTTGCGTCTAACAATGGACGTGCGAAAAATGATTCGAGGTAGCTTTCCTCGTGAAGAGTGACTTGAAAGAGCATTTTCTGTGCCGAGATAAAAATTTTACAGAGAGAAACAAGATATTCCTCGATTTTTATTCCTCGAAAGAATTCATTTGCAAATGGTCAATCATTGAAACGTGAACAATGTACAGGGTGAAGTGTCTAAAACAGGACACCTGAACAACTCCCACAGTGCTCGAGATAGGAAAGAATTATAATTACGAAAGTTGTACTATATCAAGGGAGCCGTAACATGTTAGCGATGGTTTTTCGAAAAGTGAAGCGGAGATTTCAAGGTCACCTCTATTTTTTTAAATGGGACCCCCTTGTTTATTACACTATCTTATTCTGCTAAGTAATATGAGCAACTTTTGCGATTTGTCTAATACTTTTTGAGATATTCAAGAAAAAATTGATATATATTTATTTACTTCAGCTTACAGCCAAGAAGTGGACTTGGTTTACAATAGTACTTAACTCATTCACTCTTGCATACTTATTCTATTCCTCTCTCTTTCTTCCTTACGTATTGTGACTAGTGACTAGTTTATATTGCTTATTTATTATTTACATTTCTTTTCCTCCTTCCTCCTGTACTCTCTCTTCCTTTTCTTTATTTAAGCTTCGCAGTCTGCATTCTCTTTCTATCCAAAGCTTCCTAATAGTGTACCCTTTTTCCTTATCTAATTCGTCGCTCCATATCTTATCTCTTATTTCTCTATTGTTTTTCCCTAATTTCTTAAACCAGTGTGATGTCATACTGCATTCCTTTATATAATGTTCAAGACTATCCTATCCCGTATTACAAAAAACGCAAGTTCTTTCTTTTTCTTCTAGCCAGTACATGTTGTATCTTTCTAGGTTACCGCATCTCAGATTCATTAGCGCTCTAACCTTATCACCTGACGCATACTCTTCCGCATTCCTGTCTTCTAAGTATCTAGGCCTATTTCCATTTCTGTCTAACTCTTTATACCTTTTATTATATCTCGATTCTGTTATCATATTAAGAAAAAATTGATAACTTTTTCAATATTTAGCTTATGCACGGAGAGACCGATACGGTTACCACATGTCTAATTAGGGTTGGCATAGCCTCAGTAAATAGTAACATTTGGGACAGCTATATCTGTGGTCGTCATACCCATAAGTAGTGGAGACAACCACACGCGCCTTGTGCAGCAAACTTGGTAAATGTTGCAACGCAAAACAATGTAGTTGCCCCCGCTATTTATACGGCAACATTTTTATTTTAATTATTTTTTCCTTAGCCGGTCTTTCCGTGTGATATCTCGATAACTGTTTGTCGGAGGGAACAGGCTTTAATAAATGAAACACCATTGCAACAGCATATTCCTGAGACCAAATCAAGTAAGAAAAGATCCTGTACTACTTTTCCCTCCGACAAACAATTATCGAGATATCATAAGCAAAATATTAAAAAAGTTATAAATTTTCTCTTGAATATCTCAAAAAGTATTAGGCAAATAAAAAATGTTGCAGACAAAAGTTGTTTATATTACTTAGTAGAATAAGATAATATAATAAACAATAGGGGGCTCCATTAAAAAACATGAAAATGACTTTTAAATCCCCTAAGCATCTCCATTTTGGAAAGAATGTTTACCACCACAAGATGTCCTCTTCGACACTACACAACTTTTGTTTCAAGCATTTTTTCCTATCTCGAAAACTGTGGGAGAAATTCAGGTGGCCTGTTTTAGATGCCTCACCCTGTATATGTATAAAGGATATAGCCGGATAAGACAAATTTGCCCCCGCATATAACTTTGTAATCGCATTTCGATAGGAATTCTGGGGGAGGAAAATGGAATCAACAGTGATTTTTCTTGAAAACAGCTGAATCGAGTTTGATGAAAGTGTAGAGATGAATAAAATAGTAGTTTGAAAGCTGTTTCGTCCCAAAAAATAAACTAAAAAATTTTTGTAGTAAAAGAATTTTTTAAGGGGGTTGTATTGGACCGACACCTACCGTAGAGTCACAAAAACCTCTTTGAATTCCCTATTCTTATATATATTTTTTCGAAATAAATCTGAGTGGTAGAACACAGTTTAAAAAATGAAAATCATGCAGCACCGCGGTGTACTGCACCGCACAGCGCCGGTTTGTGCGAAAACTTTTGTCCCTGTTGTATTATTTATTTGCTATTAAAGTTGATGAAAAGTAAGATTTTTACCCACGGCATTCATTCAGTTAAAGTGAATAATTACATTACGTTTATATTACGTTTCGGTGAAAAGAAAGATGGTTATGGAATTATCTGAAACACAGACCAAGATAAATAGTTCTATTTTATAAAAATTCTCGTTAGTTAAATGAAATATGTATTTTAATTTATTAATAATGTTCCATCCATCCATTAGCCAACATTTTCATTTTGGACGTTTGCAATTAGCCTAAATAATATAGTTTCCAGAGTTTACCGCGAGGAGATTTTTAAACTCCTTATTGTCAGGGCGCTTTTTTTATCGTGAGTCCCCTTGCTTGTCACTTAGGGTACTGTTTTTTCTATTTATTATAAAACTAAACGAATGTTTTTAGTCTTTATCGCTATCACTTTCACTTTCAATTACGGGAGGTGCATTTATTTTGTTTGAATAAATCGCTGAGCATTTTTGCTGGTATACAAATTTTAGATAAGGATCTTGCATGAAACAATTATTCCTATATCTTAAAAAGCATTTGTATGTTGTACGAGAAATGTGTCGGGATAGAACTTTCAATTCAAGTACATTTATCTCAACATTTATCCACCGTTTCTGCCAAATATTCGAAAATGTTTTTGTGACACTACAGTAATTGTAATTAAAGGACATCCCCCTAAAAAATTTTTTTTAATATACAAAGTTTTTGACCTATTTTTGGGTCAGAAAAATTAAAAAGTTTTTTAAACAACTTTTTTATTGATCTCTACAACATGTATTTTTTCATCAAAATCAATTCAACTGTTTTCAAGAAAAATCACTTTTTTAATTTTGTTTTCTCTCTCCATAACTCTTATAAAATTGATTACAAGATTATTATTTGGGGTAATTTCATACCACATGAGTGTCAACTTATTACATCAATTTGGATCTGATATATGCGGCGCAGATTTGCGTGCCTTCCGGCTATATCCTTTAAAGTTTAAATGGAAAAATAAAGAATCTCTCTCTCTTTCTCCGTATGTTTATCTCAATTTGTTTAAATTCGCCCGCAAATTCTTGCAGTCCCTCAATTCTCAACGAAATTTATTTTAATTTCAACTATTTTGTTAGAGAAACAATACGAATATACACATAAAAGATGGAAGAAAGGAACAAAGTGGATTTAACGATTTGAATTCCTGCTCTCGCAATGATCGGAGACAATTTCGCAGAGCGAATTCCACTCGAATCGTCCAGCTTTCGCACGGCCGCGCCAATTTGCAAAAATTTTCGCGCAACAAAGGCAGCGATGAAAGCAATATTCAAAATTGATGTAATTTGGACGAATCCGATTTTCGTGTGTCACGGCAGATACGGGAAAACTTACAATCGCTGCGTATTCCATTGTCACAAACGAATATTGAGATCGCTTATACCGATATTACACCGATGCTTCGCCATTCTCTCTTGCCCAACCCTCTTTTCCCTAAAGTGGTGGAATAACGCGGCCGACGTAATTTTAGTTTGGCAGATAATAAACGGACGAGATCGACGCTGATTCACTGAAGAGCTTCTGGCTGGCTCATCATGTTCGCCAAGTCCCGAGGCAGCAGCGCGGCGCCGTGCGATTTGCTTCCCGATCCGATACGCAACACGTATGAGATCGGCAAGCAGTCCGCTACCGCCGGACCGGAGAACGTCTGGCGCATATACGACGGCTATCGGAAAAAGGACAGGATGGTAATTAGACACGGCAGAGCTCCGTTTACTTTGTTTTCTTTTTTCTTTTTAATTGTTTAAAATTTTTTTGCGCTACATCTCTTAGGCGATATCGATAAACGGATAATTGCTACCGATTCCTATCGATGCCGATTAACTTTAAGCATGAGTTTTGGCCTCCTCTTTTTCTAACGGCTCTAACGATATCCGAATAGAGAAATAGAAGGGAAAGGTGATCGAATCGTGGGTTGGATTTAAATTGATTGGATTTGGAAAGTCGGTTCTGAAAGGATTCGAGTGAGCGATGGGATTTGTTCGACCTCGGATCGGAAAGTGATACTTGGAAAGATTCTCGTCAAATTTGAAATCCGAGCTTGCGACTCGAAGAGCGCGACGACAGTGTTGGCTAGAGGGGAGAATGCAGGCTCGTTCGCTTACTTGCAGGAAGTCTCGATCTTCCTATTCGACAAACGGTCCGTCGAGAAGCTGCACAAGCCGAAACGCCGGGAAACGGTCACGGACATATTGCGCGCGGGCGCCGCCCGGATGGAGAGGTACTCGCATCCGAAGCTTCTTCAGGTATGCGCATACGTGAGATATTCGCGGCACGCGAATTCACTCGAGCCGCTCCGATCGACATATATCGCCGCTTGAGTGTTTTCGCGAGCCACCCTGTAGATCGATACGCGCTATATTTGACCGGCGATATTAGGCGTACAAAGTGGAGGAGTGCGCGGACACGTTGGCCTTCGCGTCAGAGCCGGTCCTCGCCAGCCTGGCAAACGTCCTAGCATACAAGGAGCAAGTAGCGAACGCACTCGCGGCGCAATCCTCGGGTCCGATGAGCAAGCAGAACCACCCTCCAACCACCAGCCACCACCGTTCGACCTTCGTCAAGGAGTACGAGCTGCACGAGCTAGAAGTCAAGTACGGACTCCTGCAGGTAAGAAAACGCACGTGTTACGTGGAGGAGAGACCGGCAATAAAAAGATTAAGGGGCCGAGCTCTCAAAAGTGTTTCGTAATTTTTATCACTGTAAGAGGCGTGGAATATAAATTCTTAATAGCATGGTTTGATACGCGAGAAATGATGTTCGCAGGAGAGACGCATTTTCAAAAGATCTAATTAAATACTAAAAATAACGCACTAAAAATACTAAAAGTACTGAAAATAATTTATATGAGAGGAACAATTACTTTCTCCTTCGTTATGTACCTATATACTTCGATAAACCGATTTCCGGAAGCCGCACTCCTTTGTTTGTCTATTCTCGTGGACACACTTTGCGGCTCCAAATCCGGGAGCACCGATAATAGGGTTCGTCCATTAGCAGTTAAGTCGCGCATAAAGCAAGTCTACGACAGGGGGGAAAGTGATGTGTGTTTAACTGCCTATACGTCATTATAATATTGCCTCTCTCTCTCTCTCTCTCTCTCTTCTCTGATAATATTCAACAGATGCACGATCGAAGATTTCGACAAGAACTATCTCCTTATGCTACATTACGTCGTTACGATACAACACGCACGTTGCAGCACGAAATTAGATATAAACAGTAGTGGCAAATAGAGAAGAAACGATTTCGATATGTGCGTGTGCATACGACCGTGACATTGTGCGTAAGCACGGAATCGTAGCGTAGACGCGATAACGGGGTCACATTGCAGAAAATTAAGTCGAATCCAAGCGCATGCGTGTAGCAATAAGGGTTGGAGAGACAGACAGACAGACAGACACAGACAGACAGACAGACAGACAGATAGATAGAGAGAGAGAGGGCGAGGAGATAGAGAAGGGGGAGGGAGAGAAAGGGAGGGAGAGAGGGAAAGAGAGAGGGAGAGTGGGCAGAAGGGGTGGTCAAAGTAAATTTTCTCAAATACGAATTCCTGGTTGCAACCACACCAAATCAACTCCATCATAGTGGCGCCGCTTTCGATGTAGCTCACATAATAGAATGTATTAAGAGGGACGTAATAGAATGCTTAATGCCGTCAACCCTTTCAAACCGCGAGTCAAACTTGCGCCGTTATGTTGTAACAGCAATCGTGTTCAGCAACGCAGTTTAACAACTCGAATTCGCAATTATGTCTCTCGCGACGGGTAATCTAAATGTATTTAAGCAGATCTCTAATCTGCTCATCTGTTACGCAAAAATAAATAGAAATTGTTTGGAGCGTTACAAAAGGAGCTTAAAGAAGTGCTGAAGTAACAGGGAATAACGTCGAAACGATACAAGACGTTACTAAAAATAATGTTGGCGTGAAAAAACGAGAACGCGGTCCAGTTAGCATTACGAATCCTCTATTACTTTTTACAGATCACGGAGGCTCTGTTATTTCTTCACGGCAACTGTAAATTTCTCCATAGAAATGTTTGCCCGACGAGTATCATTATCACAAAAAGGGGCACCTGGAAGTTGTCGGGCTTCGAGTTTATCGGTAAGTCTAATCTCGTCATTTCTAGTCCTAAAGATAGGCACCTGAACCCAAGTTTATCCATTTTTAGTCAGTATCAGCCATTTTTCCACAACTAAAGTGTATATTACGCCTTCCATTAAAGCTAAATATGACAAAGGTGATCCGTCGGTAAATAAATATACAATAACGAAGCAATGTTAACAAATTCGAAGCATAATTAAAGAAACAAAATGGAATTAATTCTAACAAAGATACAGAATTGTTGAACAAATCTTCTTTTGACATACTGCACGAGCCATTTGTTATTTAACAATCTTGAATAACAAAAAAATTTTAGTAAAATGTTCATCTGCATTTTTATATTTTCATTTAAATTTGTCTGTCCTACTAAATGACATCAGTCCATAAACAGATCTCATAAGAGTAAATCGTTATTTGAAAATAGTTGGTTACTTCGCCTATTTGTCAATGTCTCCTACTAATGATGTAAGTTTTAAATTTAATTTTTTTTACAGCTCATAATGGATACTTTGTTGTTTCTTTCTTTTTGAATACAGTTACTTTGATTTATTGATTATAGAATTATTATGCGATTAAACTTTTTAATCCTGACTACAAAGTTCTTTATCGGACATTTTGATTTTACAATAAAACGATATTGTATTCTCACTTTCAAACGAAATCATAATCTTTTTACCGCTTAACTAAAAAAAAACGTATTTTAACCTCACTTATACATTGTGTTTTATACTAGTAAAGTTTTGTATCAATTTTTACAAAATTGTACATTTTCATGAAATACCACTTGCAATAATTTCTTGATTTGAGAACATTGTAATTTGTGGCACTATTTCGTAGACATTTTTACAAAAAAATTAATGTTTCAACGAAGATATAAACATTTCTACAATTTTTTATTTCAAGTCAATTTTTTGTAGTTATAGAAATTTTTTCCGCTAGGGTTCTATTGTATTAATTTGTGCTGAGGATGACTAATGCAAATTAACAGATAAATAATATTATTCTAATACTAAATCGCTGGATACTAAATCGCGAATTGATTGTTCTGTGTTTTAACACCGACAAACAATGGTCGAATTAGTAAGCCACGCGTCTAGTGTGAGAAAGGTCCAAGTTCAAACCCTCAGGTAATATTTATGAGATGTATTTACAGAATGGTTACGGTAGAAGAAAGATACGCGTTATACATATATAAATATCCATTGTTATATTTGGCGTAATTTGTTGATGATATCATTACTTTTGTAGAGAAGATACTTTTGTAGAGAAGATTTTTGTAAAGAAGATACTTTTGCAGGAAAGATATTTTTGTAAAAAAGATACTTTTGCAGGAAATATATTTTTGTAGAGAAGATATAATACTTTTGCAGAAGAGATAGAGTAACATTGGAGCTTATACTTGGCATATTTTTTACCTTTTTTTTAAAAAATCAGGTAATATTTATTTGAGGCAATAAATTTCTTCTGATTAAATTATAGCCAGTTCTGGCCAAATAATAATATTTATCTGTTATTTAATCTACTAGCCATCATATTTCAAGCTCTTGTTCTTGTCCACAAATTGACCATAATATCTATTATTTAAAAATATGAAAATGTGTCGATTGAAAGTAGAAAAAAAAACGTATCGGAAAGATGTGATATCGAGGGCACGATACTTTTACACTGAGATTTTAGTCAGAATGTATTTCGCTTGTTAGAGAGTGCCAAGGAAATACCGATAACTGTTCAATCGTGGACGAAGCACATGCCAAAAATGACTCAGCCGAATCTCGATTACACAGGTGAGACATCGCCAAGTTTAAATTGTTAGCGCACGCCCGCGCTGAGAAAGCTGTTCCCCGTAACGCTGTTTCTTTCTTTAAGTCGTACAAATTTCACGGCTAAATACGTACTCGATCTCTCGCATGTAACGAAATAATAAGTCTCGCTCTATAAATAGAAATGGCTTCTATATAAACGAAAATCTCATACAAGTAACATCTTCATAAATAGAAATTTTTGTTAGAAATAGAGAAATCCATTTGTGTCAACAAAAGACGCAAACTTGTATTAAATATTTAACCCGACCGTTTATATTTCCTCCCGTACGTTGTGATTCTCGCGTTGAATGAAACAGTCTCGTATTTAACATTAAATACCCAACAAAAATAGAATCTAATCTAATTATAGTCGTCACACAACGTAACTCGGACTCTGTTTTATAATCGAAAACATTTGCCGCACTCCGATCGAATGTAAAATGCTGAGTAAGGCTTCCCAATCGAGGGTTTTTCCCATATAACAATAGATTTACTTACACGTGTAAGAAAAAAATTAATTTAGTTGCGTCAACGGTATCGGATTTGTGTGAAAAACTTTATTAGCTTCAAACTTTAGCGTTAAAACAAACCGTTGCTTGCAACCCGCGTCTTCAGTCAAGCCGTAGCGAGCTCTCCGAAAATTACCGGAAATAGCTTTCCACACGTGGCTATGCGAAACGACCTCCTATTTGCAATTGTGATTATCCCTCTCACCTCGCATTTGGTCGCCGGGGAATTTGTAACGCGGCTGTGTAACATGTTGCAGCGCCAGAGGTGCAGCAGAAAAAGCTCGCGAGCTTCTCCAGCGACATGTACAGTCTAGGCATGACGATATGCGCGATTTATAATCAGGGCCGGCCACTGATACAGGCAAATCACAGCTGCTCGGATTATCTCAAACAACTCGAGACCGTAAGTTAATCCGACCGCGAGACGTAAACGAGACGACGATTACCCTTCGAAAGCGCGCGATGTAATCGCGGACAATCTTCAAAAGCACTTAGCTCTCGGGAGACATGGAATCTCTCTTGGATTTCTCTCATTCCTCTGATCTTCAAAAATAAACTTCGACCTTTTCAATCGCACTTTCTCAAGTTAAAGTTCTTTTTTTCATCGCTGCGTACGGAACTTGGATCGCAGTTCCGTTGAATGTCCGAACGAAAAGTGAAGGGAAGTGACATTGAAAAGATTTTGCTAGATTAACACTTTCATTACCAGCTTGACGATCAAGTCGCCGTTATTTTGCCGCTGATACCGATGCCACTTCGAGAAGCTGTGACGCGACTCTTACACAAGGACCTCAACCTCAGGCCAACCGCGCAAGTTTTGACTATGATCAAATTCTTTCAAGATCCGTTTGTGCACGCTCTGCAATTTCTTGACGTTAGCAAGATGAAGGACGTTCATCAGAAGGAGCACTTTTATACGACGACTTTGAGAGATATTTTGCCATACATGCCAAAGGTATGCGCAAATGTCATGATGTTGTATGTTCAGGATGAGTTTAGGGCGAATTAGAATCAAAGAATCAAAACGAAGAAATACTGGGTGATTCCTACACAGTTGAAAAATTTGTGTTAAATTTAACAGATATCACAAATAGTCCCAAACGGTCCACGCAAATTCTTGTGTTGATTTAACATAATATGGATATGTTATAATAAATGTTCACACTAATACTCTGTTAATATTTTAACGCAAAATAAATGCAAATTGCAAAATAATTTGAAATAAATTTTGTGTAATATTAACATATTTTTAATGATAAAATGAATTTTTAAAAATGTAATTTTTACATTTTACAGATGTAATACCATAAGTCAAATAACAGTTCGAAATCACTCTTACTTTTATGATATAGAATAAAATCAACATTTTATTCTGTAAATTTTAACAGATAAATCTTGTTACTAATAATATAGAACATGTATTGTGTAAGATTAAAAAATAGGTACACATTGTATTGTTTTAACATTTCTTTTCAAGTATGTAATAATTTTACATTTGAGGTCAATTAACACAAGAGCAATATGTAAAATTAACACATGAATGTGTTAAACATTTAACACCAAAATTTTAACCGGCATTTTCTTTAACAAGAAAACACAAATGTTTTAACTGTGTAAGTAAATACAATATAAACAATATGAGGAGATATTTCTTGACTTATTTTATAAAGAAAATGTCCTATGAGCGTATGTCTCGAAGTGCGTTTTCAAAATATAGGAGGTTAACTTTGAGAAAAAATGAAATTTTCGGAAGTCTAAGAAAACGTTTAGAGATGATGTTTTATTCAAATTTAGTGTACGTATGTACATGTAACAACTATTTTCCAGTATCGATATTTAGATCCACTCGGGAACATATGGAAATAGTGCACCACGTTTTTACTAAATTTAACAATTTTTTTTAATTCTGAACTAAAACTCAATAAAAGCTGCCTGTTGTATTTTTTTGATACCGATAGCTATTTTCAAGTTGAAATAAAAAATTGAAATTAAAAATGGAAATAGTTTCACTTTTATTTATTGAAAAATTTATTAAAAAATGTTTCATCGATACTGAAAAATAATTCTTAATATTGCATGTACGCACACCAAATTTTAACAAAGTGAATATCTCTAGTAATGTTTTCTTAGATTTGCGACATTTTAATTTTTTTCTCAAATTTGATATTCTCGAAAACAAAACACTTCAGGGCATTTATTTAAATAACATTTTCTTCGTAAAATAAGCCAAGAAATAGCTCCTTTTCCACATTTTTTGTACTTGCTTAGTACATGTATGGCTAAATGCCAGCCTTAATATAAATCATAATTGATTATGTCGAGTCACAATTTTACCAAGTTTAATAACGATAATCTACTTTCTCCTACTAATTATTCTACTATACTCGCGATTCTTTTTCTGCTTTTTAATGCACGGCGGAGAACTCGCAATTCCGAGCAAATCCAATAGATTTTCGATAGATTAGAGAGTCGCGAAGAAGAAATGTTAAAACGTTTAATGATGTAACTGGTATCTTAGGAGTGGAGCAATGGAATGAACTTTTCAAAATAAGAAAATTATTGATTAGCTATGCTATGTCATTTCGTTTAGTTTATTGCATTGGTTTATATTGTACATACATGAGTGTATTACACTGTGTTTGCTCTGATTCGATTCACCCTAATCGTACACGGCCGCGAAATGTCGCGTGTCATGTAAACGTTTTCCGTTTGTACAGAAACTCTGGTATCAGCACATCTGGACGTATCTTCACGCGGAGCTGCAGACGCAGGAAGTGTTGTCGGCCGTGTTGCAGCCCATGCTGTACATCGTCCAGAGCAGCACGAAGGAGGAATACGAACGGATCGTGTTTCCCACGCTTAAGTACGTATACACAGACCGAGAGTGGAAATAAGCGCGAGACCGCGCGAAATAGACCACGTCTCATCTCACCCTCTCTTCCGTTTCTCTCTTTCTCTCTCTCTCTGTCTCTTCTCTCTCTCTCTCTTCTCTCTCTTCTCTCTCTCTCTCTCTCTCTCTCTTTCCCTCGCTCCCGCAGACCTCTCTTCACCAATCGAAAGTCAATTCAGGGAACTGTGACCCTGCTGGAGAATCTGCACATCATCCTAGAGAAGACGCCCCAGGAATATGAGCGCGAGGTGCTCTCGATGCTATACATGTCCTTCGAAAATTCGACCATTCAAGTGCGAGTAAGTAAACGAGGGATAAGGAAACACTTTTAAATACCGCTGGATTATTATCACTTATTCACACAGAATAAAGAGTGATTTAATAATTGCGAAAACCAAAGTCTGAGATTAAAAAAAATGGAGTATCCAAATTTCAGAATATAATATTCTACTCTCTTAGATAAGTGTCTAATTTTGAGTGTAAACTTCTAATTAATAAATAAACACACGGTCGGGCACGTGTTTGCAGAGCAATAAGAAAAAGACGAGGGGACATTGAACGAGCAAAATAAAAACAGCATTATTAATTTCTAATTTTATATACAAACTTTGAGAAAAAAATCATACGAAGCTCAATTTTTCAATTTGCAAAAAGTCTATAGTTTGCGATTATCATGAGATTTGCGATAGAAATTTATTCCACCCCGCGGAGAACGTCAAATTGTGCAATTTTTCGAATACGTAATATGTCCTTACACTTTGAAAAGACGGCGAGAGAAATAGTGTACGAAAGATAGAATAAATTCAAAATCTATTGAAGGCTTTTTAAAGTACAGACTTTGTTTATTAAAATGAAAGAGAAATTTTTCAAATACGACAATCAACGAAGTTACGGTTATTTAAAGTTACGCAAAATTTAAAAATTACGTATGTATTAATTTTGTCGAGTATATTTTAATTTACCGATACATTCAGTATTATCGCAGGCTAATAATATTCTTCAATTGAGAATATCTGAACGATAACAGCTCGCGAATGTGCAAGATAACATAAATATGCAAAGCAATTGTAAAATTTGCTCGTGTCAACGATTGATTCGTTTGTCCGTTAGACAGCCGCGTTCGTGGCCGTGGCTCATGTGACAAATTATCTCGAGGATGACGCCATACGTAACGTAGTGCTACCGAAACTGTTGGAAGCCTTCGAGAACAATTCGGCAAATGCTCGGGTGTTGATGGACGTAATTCCGTGCATCCTGAACCGTCTTGAGAAACAGAAGATCATCGACTGTATCCTACCGCTGCTCTGTAAAGTCAAGCTGCAAGAACCCGAGATCGTCGTGCGGGTTGTAAGTAAGTGAAGTAAAGTGAATATACGAATTTACGTGCTCACTTAATACGCGACTCAAGACAAGATAGTCTAGTCTTGAGACAGAAAAATAAAGAATATGCGAGAAAGGAGCAAGAAAGGAAAAAAAAGAGGGTCCTCCATAAGGACAGATATTCATTCTGAAAAGAAAATCACGCGCGGTCGCTACTATACTTGCGCCTAATCATTCTCGCCCGCTCTTCGCGTATTTCAGATATTTACAGGCTGATGCTAACCGACAAGAAATTTGGATTGTCAGTTAATTGGATGGCGACACATGCAATGCCTTCTCTACTACCGCAAACCGTGAATCCGAAGTTGAATCTCGAGCAATTTATACTGCTTCTTGAGGTGCTGCAGGATATGCTGAACAATATCGAGAGGCAAGTGCAATTAGCATTAAGATCGGGTGGAGTATTATACGTGTACGTCGGGTAAATGGGAGTACACACACAGGTGTAATGACTCCCCTGGCAGTCTGATTAATAATTATTTCGAAAATAAACGAGTGTTTGCGCGCACTTAATGACGCGTGAGAGCATTAAAGTTTTCCGACTATGAAGTATTTAATGGGTATTCGTGCGAATTCATTCGTGAAAATCTCTCAACGAAAAAAAGCGTAACAAACTTTTTACATTATAATTATTCATTGTTATCGATAATTCCTTATATCATTGTTCCGGCCAAATAAAGATCTTATTTGCGCCACTTAACGCAATTGCGACGTGGCGCACTTCGTATAATTAACGAATATTGAGACTGCTAATTAATTAATATTGCGCAAATATCGGCCAATGTGTAACGCATCTGCAAAACGTTTACAACACTCATCGTGCGAGAGCACTCTCCCATTTTTCAAATTACAGAAATCAGAGGAACAAGCTGACGCTCGACAATCTCTCTTTACCGAGCCCCGACAAGTCTCGACCTCTGCGACATCAGTACAGCACTGACAACGTACACGTACCGGCGTTTAACATCCCGAATTTGCGCATCGAACAACGCAAGACTTCATCGGCCGAGGATATGGCCAGAAAGAATAGCATCGGTGCGAGCACTGACAGAAATATCAGACAGATCCCGGTGTACTCTCCAGCGTCGTTATTTTCCAAGCAATTGAACATTATTTTTCGCCAAGCAATTACATTTTTTTAAGTTTTATCGCAGTCACAAATCAACTTGTAACGGGCTCTAATGTTCCCCTTTTAACACATCCATAACAGTTGAAAGAGTTACGACACTTTTTCCCCACGGTCAAGTAGCACTCTAGTGGATGGTTTCCATAAATATTAGCTAAACTAAGCGATGGTTTAATAAATACTCCGACTCCTGCGCGTGACAGGGCTGGAAGAGGACAGGGAACGGCTCAATTAAGTTTATTCAATATTTATGGAAACGGTCCTCCAAGGAATTAAACCATCTGAGTGTACTAAAACGGTGTTTTCCCCGCACGCAGGATCCATATCGGCATCTGCAGAAAATATGGCGCGGAAAAGTTCGATGGCCGGTAAGTGGACATGACGGTGACACTTTCCTCGCCCCCTCCTTTCCACGATATGAAACATTTATGCAATCCTCCAGAGTTAGGACGTGATGTTTTATTCGCACAAGACTGACTTAACCGAGCCCTGACGCGTTTATTCGATGTTTAGCGGTGTTTGGCGGATTATTCACCTCGCCGTCGGCCAACGACAGTAACTTTCTGCGGGTCGCCAATACGTTCACCAGCAGACGACTGTCCGACAACACCCTGATGACACCAAAGATACGGATCGCACCATCCTGCGCGAGTTCACCAGGCGGGACGCCCGGCACCGGCGGCGGCGGCGGCCTACCGATCCGTCGGCACTCCAGCACCGGTCCCCAGGAACGACGCGGGTCCAATTTATCCCCGCCCACCCTGGTATATATTTTCATAGTTATGCACACGCGCGCGTGTGCGAGCCTCCACACGCTAATTATATATAATTTGTACGAGAACGACCCCGTAGGCACACGACGCGTATTAAACAAAAGATACGATAAAAGAATTAAGTATAGCGTAAATGATATGATCGAGAATCTAGAATGATTGCTCGCAAACGTGAAACGCGGAAAAACTGTGCTCAATTTGTAACATATAGTCTCAGAATTAAAAAAAATTACATATACCACAATATCAAGTAATGCTCGCGAGGCGCAAGTTCAAACTAGCATGACCCACTAACATTCTTCGAAATAATCGGGAAAACTACCTCCTACTTATAAAACCGAATCCCTTTTATTGATCATATGGATGGCGTAAAGCAGAAATAAATCGGAGTCGTTATATAATTGATCCGCCGTGTGGAACATTAACGAGGTATACGCGGGTGGAACTGCAGATTCGCGACTTAAGAGTACATTTACGTTGGAGTAACTTTTATTATCGCTTCAACTTTATGCGCGAAATCTTAACGAGCAAAAAAATTGGCTTCTCAACGTCCGCTCTCTATCTTTCGCGCATGAATCAACGCGTCATTTTGCCGCGATAGCGATTACCCAGCCAATCCGAATGAAATCGGATTTGTTCACAGATCGGAAACGATATGCCGATTACGAGTAGCAGCGTGCCCTATCTACTCAGTTCGAGCCTGAACAGCATTCGCGGCTCAAGACGGCCGTCCGTGTCCTCGACATCGTCGCAGCAGGGACTTGGGCTACTGCAACACGTTGGCTCCAGCATGGTAAGACAACTACCCCCCATCTGCCTGAACCTGAATGGACCACCACCACCACCAACACTCTCTCCATCACTCCAGCTACCGGGACAGCATTCCCACTGACCCTCCGTTACAGTGTAAGGATATTCACTAAGCCTTAGATCGATTCACGCCTACGCTTTCTCTCTCTCTCTTTCTCTCTCTCTCTCTCTCTCTCTCTCTCTCTCTCTCTCTCCCCCCTCTCTCTCCCCCCTCTCTCTCTCTCTCTTTCTCGCTCTCTCCGATTTGATCACTCCCACCCACCTTGTCCTTAGATTAGATTCTCTCTCTGCTCTGGATTAATTTGGAGAGTCCGTCGTTAAAGCGCGGTATCAAAGTATTGATCGGAACGGTCCTCTACCGACGATGAACGATAATGAAACAGAATAATTTCGAAAAGGGCTTTGTTCCTGAAAACATCGCACGGGTTGGGGTGGATTTTAATTGCGCTCGTTTTCTTGATGCAACTAAATTTGATCATCTAGTACCTAAGTTCGGGTACGATGAAGATTAGAAATTATTCAGTAACGCGCCCTTTTTGAAGTTACTAATACAATAATGGGTAAATTATTTTTTCACCGTATACGTAACGAGAGATAGGGTGCAAGAATATCTCATATCTCCTCGCGTTTAAAAAAGATTCGGTTTTACTACGACAAAAATGGGATATAAATTCAGAGATTTGTATATTCAGAGAATTATATAACCTGGGAACTTTTTAAACGAATTTCCTGTATTCAGAGAGATCCCGCACCGAGATTCGCGCTCTTCCAAGACCGATTGTTAGCGCGGTTCCTCTCTATTGTTGCGAGAGACGTCTCGCGTACACACCGCTCGAGAAATGGCGAGGCGTAAAGGACGACCCCCTCTTTCACATGTTACAGTATCAGTTCTTCAATAGACAACCCGAAGCGTCAAGTGCCAACGATCGTCACTGAACGAAGCTCGGACAAAATCGCGGTGGTTGTGGAGTCTCTAACTAGCGCGCGCCGATCCCCTTGTACGCTTGGTCAATCGTAAAGAAACAAGGAGGAGATGACGATGAGAATCGCGCGGAGACTCTCGTCCAAGGACACGTCCCAGCGAATGAGGCGTGACACCGACTCTGCTTTAATTGGCCTCGAGATCGCGAATAAACGCGAGGATCTTTCTCCGGAGATCGGCGATTCGACCTACGCCCCGGGAATAGATCGAGTTAGAGAGAAATGGAAAGCAGCACTCGCTGCGAATTATTCTGGCCAGATCCGGACTGGGCGAGCGAGCGAACGAGCGAGCTGACGAGCGCAAACTAGCTTCGGTGAGTACTTCCCGTTTGTGCTCGTCGAGACAAGCCGCACAGTCGCGTTTGTTCGCGGTTGCTCGCTCGGTCCGGGTCTCCCTTAACGCGCGTACAATCTGACCTAATAATATATACGTATAGATACATATAATTATACTCTTCGCGGCCGACAGGATCGCGGATTGATGGCCGCAAATTAGCCCGAGGAAACTCCTCCCCTTCCCTCCTCTCTTAAGCCGGGCTAATACTCGCATCGTGTGCATTTCTGCATACATATATCACTCTCGCTGTCACATAGTGGCGACGGAGGATTCAGGGATAGATGATTTGGAAGTACGTGTATGTACAATGGGCGTGAACATCCGGGATACGTCAGAAGGTGCCGACCAACTCCATAAACTCGACTAGTTATTGCAACGGTTGATCACTAATTCATTAAAATTAATTACTGGCGTTGACTACCGATCGATGCAAATCTAATTTGATGCTTTGCATGTTATCACTTTGCTTCTTACGTCCCCTAGCGGAAAAAATTTCTATAAATAACTACAACAAGTTGACTTGAAATTTGTAGAAACTTTTGTATCTTCGTTGAAACATTAATTTTGTTGTAAAAATGTCTACGAAATAGCGCCACAAATTACAACGTTCTCAAATCAAGAAATTATTGCAAGTGGTATTTCATGAAAATGTACAATTTTGTAAAGATTAGTACAAAACTTTACTAGTTTAAAAAATTTGAGAAACAACAAAATCTTGAGGAATTAAAGCATCTGCTTACTCGTAGAATATTACAAAAATTAACAAAAGTGTTCCGACTCCAGTATTTTTATGTTGATTTTTTTGTAACACTTTTTAAATTTACGTAGAATTTCTTAGATTCTGGCAGTATATTTTTTTTGTAGAATTTTGTAGAATTATTTCCGGCAGGGTCATTAGTAATTAAAAATCAAATTGCCTCATATATCCTTGTTCTTTAACGTGTTTAACACTCAATGTGGCCGTCCGACTTCACACTTGTCTTATCTGACAGTGAGCCAGTTCATTCGCTAAAAAACAACTCAAGAACATTCGACAAGTTTTGATCTTCGACAGTCAAACCGGAGATATTTGGAGGGTCGCAACTTCTGATCTATCTCGTGTATCAAGGAAGCACGTTGTAGGAGCAAATACAAGCGTACTGGAAAAAAGAAAAAGTAAAATAATATATACATACATATACCGAGTGATTCAGAAATGCTTGTATACGAACTTTGAGGGTGAATTCTCCACATCTAAATAAACTAGGAAAAATGTCATAGTATGTGTCTGGAAATGCCTGGTTTATGAGTTATAGGTCGGGATATTCATAGTCAGATCTTATATTTAAAACCGTCTTGAATTTATCTAAAGATGCTGTATAGAACATTTAATTAGCTACGGAGCATCTAAAGACGATCTTAAGACGATCTTAGATATAAGATCTGACTATGAATATCGTCCACAATCGAAAGGTTACATTCAGTGCTTGGGTTTCGAGGCACAAACCAACATGTTGACCCAATTAATTGCCCAATTCAATTGATATTATCAATAAGACGATGCAGGTACCTACATACATTAAAGATAGTCATGCTTTGCCAAATATATTTTTAAAAGATGCGACAATTCATAATTCGGTGTGTTCATGCGTGCATTGAATCGGATGGAGATTTTCAGCATTTATTGTGAATTATGAATAGATAAACAGTTGAACTGAAGATTTATTATATTGGTCATGCATCATTGTAAATGTATTCTGTCAGTTTGAAGTAAAATATGATATCTGTGCCGTTGAATGTAATTTTTTTTATTATAACTCATAAACTAGGTATTTCTGGACACGGATACGTTTATATACGATGCCGTTACTAGGTAGTTACGTGCTTCAACATAGGGCGCAAAATTTTAATAGGCGCCAATAATTTTTACATGTCCAAAAACGTGTACGAATTGATTGCTTAAAAATATCTTAGAAGTACAACGACGCGGACACAATTATCCAATTTATCAATCTTATTAATGAAGAGTGAACTGGCGAATAATCTTGATTATAAAGATATTATAGAATCGTCAAGGCTAAAACCAGAAAACATAAAAAAAAAGATATAAAATATATTTTATACTCTTGACAACATAAAAACAAATACAAAGGTAAAATAAAATACAAAAATAAAAATTAAAAAGTGAAACTATGTATAAAAATTTAAAAAATACATATAAAAGATATGAATATATAAAAAGTAATACATAATTCTAAAAATAATAAATATAATATATAAAAGGGTAAAAAAACGGAACGATTATTCTGTTACAGTTTTGGGGTTTTTTTTTATATTTGCAGCTTTGCCCTGGGACGTACGAACGAATCCTAGCGTAGGGTTGCTCAAGACAGTCGTAACATCACCGTGTATACATGATATTTTTTTCTTGTTTAAGTGTGGAAAACTCACCCCTAAAAATTATACAAGTATTTCTGAATCACTCTGCAATATATGTATATATACAAAAACATATACATATAATACACATAGCATCCAATTTAATTACCCCAGACAAATATCTCGAAAGAGAAAGATACGGAAAAACATTTCAGACAAAAATTATTTGGTTCAAAGGGGAACATAAGACGATGTCATTAATTTAATATTGAATTGTCGATTTTTATTGTACCACCTTTTTGTGTGCATTAATTTGAACAACTTGTCTGAAACATTTTTCCATTTGCCTAATATTCTTTGCAATATTCAAAGAAGAAATCTTGGTAATTTTTGCAATATTCAACTTCCAATATCTTAATAATTATTTGTCAGTGGGAAAAGTAGTACAGAACTTTCTGACTTCAATGTGGTCTCAAGAATATGTTACAATAGCGTCTCAACTTTTGTAAACATTTGTGTATGCATAAAAATGTCTCCAACGAGATTTCAAGATCAAGTTAAAATGGAACTGTATTGCAGTAGCAGATTCTTGAGAACAAATAAAGTCAAAAAGTCCTGTACCACTTTTCGCTCTGACAAAAAATTATCGAGATAAGTTAAATATTGAAGAAATGATCAAGTTTTCTTTGAAGTTTGTTTTTTCTCAAAAAGCAAATGTTAGGCAAGTGAAAAAATATTTCAGACAAAAGTTGTTCAATCTGATCAATACAAAATGACAGTAAAACAAAAAATGGGGGTTTTTATTTAAGAAATTAAAATCTTCATGTGATCTTTAAATGACTATGCAATGTCAAATTATTAGTATCATCTTATGTTCCCCTTCGAACCAAACAACTTTTATCTGAAACTCTTTTCCATATCTTCCATATTTTTCGAGATATTTACCTGGGGCAATTAAATTGCGCGCATACGCACATGCGCAAACACACACGCACACCCTCTCTCTTACAATTAATTACGTATTAATTACGAACAAAGAATAAATATTTTTCTCGTCAATATATTTGTCTATGTAATAATCTATAAATATGTATATCGTAATAACGGCGTGCACGCATACACGTCCAGCACGTGTCTAGCCACGCCGTCAGTCGTCAATTGTCGCACTACACAATCACTAAATCTTAAGGTAGCTTTTATAAACTCAGGTGACATCGCTGTGTGAAGGCGGGTAACGTACACCTTTTCCGCATACACGCTCGCATATGTACACGCTATACATACACGCACAATCGTTCGAGTGCGCGGAGCACGGAGCGTGGTATTGTCGATTGAATTGTCGCGTAAATAATGATACCGATGAAGGCCAAGGAATAACTATGAATGTTTAATGTACTCTGTTCGCTTGCTCGCGTACGTAATTACATCGAATATGTATTTTCTGTGTAAGAAATATATGTACGTGTATGTATATTTCCACACCTCTTCGAAATATATTTATCGATCAAACTCGACAATCAAAGACATAACAGGGAGGAGCGAACGGAATAGATTTAACGATTCATATAATTGCTTGGTTTCTAAAGTATCTTATCAAAGAGAACTCGGGATCGCAAGAAAAGGCATTTATTAAATTGCAAATTATAATTCTAAAAGATCCGATTTAGTCGAAGCCACTTATTAATTGAAATCTCAAATTATAATAATTAATTATTAAAGGATACGGTTACACAAGGCCCTAATTGCGGATATATAAAGCGAAGACGTAACAAAGAAGTCGATAATTTCGGAGCTGTTGTGAAGACAAATGCATTACGGATTTTTGGATTTCCGGAATACTTTTTAAAGTAATCACTCAAATAATTAATTAATCAATTGCGCGTTAATTAATCGTTGTACGTTTGGGGGAGAAAGCAAGACAGGGACAAAATATTCAGTACAAAGCTTTGAAAGAACTTCGGGGCATTCGTTTCATCCTTTACATATCCAAACACGTTGACATATCTACTTTCCCGAGGTACAGCTTCACGATGCGTTGTATAAGTTGCCAAGGCAATATAAACGCAAAAGTTTCTCTCACGTTGTGCTGTCCAACCGTATTAATTCGCGCGAACTGCAATCACACGTAATCTCCGGGACTCTTGTATTTTCGATCTTGGTCGAGCTTTCTTAGGCCGTAATCGTACCACCCGTTTTTATCGGTCCAGCGAAAACTTCACAGGGTGCCTTCCTTACGGATACTTTTATCCGCTACTTGTCGCGCGTCGACTTTTACCGCCGCGTTCTTTCGAAAGAGAAACCAAGAAAGAAAGAAAGACCAGTGTGCGACTTCCGAGCATTTCTCCGCACCGTCCGCAACGCACCGGTTGGTTCTCCAAAAACTAGAGAACATTTTAATCACAGATGTATGTACGTGTATATGCGTACGTGTACGGGCGCGTTGAAGTATAACGCAATTGCAATAAGATTTGGAACTTTCTGTTGCGAATCCCCGCGGATTTTCGCCCTCAGTGTGACTCTTCCGATTTCCTCTGCTCGCACACGCATACATGCGCGCGCGCCCATTCTCTCTCTCTCAATCTGGTCAGTACGGCAACTTCTGATTGATTCTTTTATTCCTAGCAAATTCCGAAAGAAAGAGACAGCAAAAAGAAAGAGAAGGAAGGTGAAAGAAAAAGATAAAAATAGCGAATGTACATTCTTCTCTCCCGCAGAATTTTGCCATCAGAACTGGCCTGTTGGCCAGACTCTGATTATAGGGACTCTACTCTAAACGATCCACCCCTTCCCAAATCAATTGGTGGCAGAAATAACTATTTTTCCTTCAAACCAGAAGACCTCGAATTGAACACGCGACGTTGCACTTGAACTTGACGTACGATTCATCACGTGACACGCTACGCGAATAAATCACTTGCGAAATGACGCGCACAAAGAGCACACAACCGAAACGATAATAAGCGTGCATTCAAGCAAATCAATCGTGTTGCCCGATGAGTAAAGTGATATTGCCGTCAAGTCGCTATGGATTGATATGAATCGCGGCAGACACGGTTGCATCCCAGATAGCACACATAGTTCTATGAATATTGTTAATTTCAGAAGATTCCAATCGAATATTCTATAAATATATATAGATTCTTACAATTAGAGATCGTACATTCATAACAAAGAAGAACATTTTTATTGTTTATTGCGCAATACATTTATCTTATGCAAAAGGCAGTGAAACCTGTGATCATACCATATACAACCTGTATGCGATCTGCTCGATTTCTGCCGCCAATCTGCTGTCTAAACATGTCGCCAAGCTTTGTTATATTTTCGTTGATGTTCTGTCGACATCATGTGATATACCAGAACCAGTATCAGATCTGTAGTCTTTCTATCGGCAAAGCTTGGAAACAGAGTTTTCTGAAATTTCTTCTGACAGATTTGGCTATCTGGGTT